CGTAGAAGTGCAAACGTTTCTACTTGATCAGTTCACCCCGCAGTGTGCGGTCGTACTTAACACCTCTGTCGTAAAAAAACAACTTAAAGTATAAAATATCACTGTATCCCGAAGGTAGAAGTTGTTAAGCGACTTGATCGCTAATCCGGTGCAATTGGAGCTGCCATCCTCGCTTCGTACTACAGCTGTAACAGTCTGTCAGGTAAAGACTAATACTTCAAGCTTATTTACTCTCGTATTTATCAATCTCATATTGACATATATTTCCAAATATTTGCCAACTTACGAGAACTAGTTCTTATTGAACCGTGGTTAGTCGAGATATATATCATTTAAGATCTTTTCCATCTGTGTCATTCCAATATAAATATATACTTTGAAATAAGTGATTATAAATTAGCTGTAAACACTGTTCGCTACAAGTTCTGAATATATTTTCAAGGGGTTAGCTTAGCTTTACAAATGCAATTGTTAGTGAACTTTGTGAAAGAATCACTCTCTTAACGTGTTGAACCGAATGTCAAATCGTATACTGAAAATAATATCTTATTCAATGACAATTTGACAGCRACACTGGCATTACGTGTCGCGGTTTAAAGTCAAATTATATTTAGAGGTCAAAACTGATGATGATGAATGAACAATATTTATTTAAACGCCATGCTGAAGCATTCCATTTGATGACATTCAATACCACGGCGACTTATACTGACATAAAAGAGAGAAGTTGAACCAGAGTCAAAGCGCAGATCTTGAGGATCCTAAAGCTCTGAAGGAAGCCACAAGCCAACTGAGCTAAGCCCGCTCCGTAATTAAATTTAAACTGTATTGGTGCTTATATATATCTTACTAATTGACTGAAGAAAAAATAAAATAAATAAATAAATACATCCACTTTATTTACGTCTCAATGTATTTGGGGAGACAAATTAGAAACTGAAATAGATAAATATAAACAAAAACCCAGCACCACCGGATTGTGAGACCGATGCTATGACCACTCGCCCATGCTGCCTCTGACAGAGTGAAACGGATTCTGATAAAATAGCAAATGTTGATATTATGTCAGAGGCAAGCTTCTTTCTTAATAAAACTAATATGAAAAGAATGTTTGACAGCAGCATTTGTTATTGTTGTTAGTATATCGGTCATAATGTGACAAACAAAAGATTCACGCCGTTACATGCAGAAGATATGTATTGTTCTGGTACAGCAGGGGAGCTGTACCGTCGCGATTTAATGAGCTAGTGGATAGCACATAAGACAAAGAAGATTAATAAAAGATTAATCTAGACTACCYTGGAATCYAGAGGTTCTATTTTGCTTCCTRAGCTTGTTTTATWTCTCCGCGRAAYTGAAAYASACCCCTTGCAGCACTGTGTAATATAATAGGTTTTGTAGAATCATGAGATTATTTTGCTTTGTCCTCTAAATTGAGTTCCTTTGACGTCTCATGCAAGGGGCGTATTATGTAGACAGATTGGGAAATAATAATAATAATAAAACAATAAAGAAGAAGAAGAAGAAGAAGAAGAACAACAACAACAACAACAACAAGAAAAGGTTGATTTTAAGAAGCAGTTCTAAGCAGAAGCACTAGAAGTAGAACGAGCAGAAGCCAGAAGCAGTAGGAGAAGTAGAAGAACCATTATACAAAAGCAGAAGGAGAAGAATAGTGACAAGGACGACGAAGATTAGCCACAAAAGTATTTTAAAAAAACCAAGAACTGAAGAATAAGCTTGCATTGGGAAGCGGAAGTGACGAAATAAATGAGGTCATCACCGGAAATGGACGGTATGACTTCTAACCGGAAGTACTTGACACTTGCTGAATTTGCGACGAATCTGTTCCAATTCACTGGGAAGAAGTCTTTCGTCCTTGTCWTGACAATAGTTTGTCCACAATTAGTTTTTCACTCAAAAAGTAATAGCGGTACTTTTTTGTTTACATTTGCTTATACAAGATTACGAATACTTTAATGAGATTTTGACAAATGGCGTTAATCCGTCAGAGGCGACTGAATGACTCGCACCGAAAAGGTCATCCATAGTTACAAACGATATTCCCTCCCTAGTTATATTCATTTTCTTTTCTTAGCAAAAGTCATTGAATTCTACATGAAGTGGAAAAGATTTTACATTGAATTTCGAATTTCTCCCAATTTGTTTGTCGAATTGTTCATAATTCTAAGGTGTTAGAAGCTCAAGATTTTAGTGACCTTTGGTTTTGTACTTCAGGATTTGAAAAGTTGATGATAACATCGAAGATAAAGAAGGCCCTTTTGATAGAAGATAAATGTGACACAAAACTTGAGAGATGCGATCTCTTTCTTCAAGATAATAGTACGCATTTATATCGGAAACGCTAAAGAAAAGGTCTTCAAAGATGATGAAGTTTCTCATTGCCATCCTGTTCTTCGCCTTCAGCTATTGGAATGGTGAGTATTTTAAAACTCATCACTCTTTTTACTCTAGTTTTTGTACTTTATTCAGTTGATATCGTCTACAACCACGAAATATTTCAACACCAAAAATTATCCATTTATAAGTATCGCTTACACGCGCCTCGGAAATCCGTCTCTATATAAGTTTATTTATTGTAAATGTCCTTTAAAACGTTCATATTAAGATAGTTTACATCATCATTTGACATTTTGATGTTTTGGAAATTATTTATTTGAAGTTAATAAGAAGCTACAGTTAAATTTTGATATTTTTGTAAGTAAATTAGCGTCGAAATCGATAGGTGTTGATGTCATTAAATTCCAGAGTTGAAAATTCTGCAAGGATGTTTCTTCGCCTGCATTGGGACTGTTTGATCAAAATACGCTCGGAAAATTTCATATAACTGAATGAATATTGCTTTATTAAGACAATTTTAGATAATCTGTTGTGTTTTTGTGCCGTTTTGTAGTTTTTTTCTTTGCGTGTTATACTTTTGATTTAAGATAACATTCAACTTGACCAAGAATAGGTCCACGAGTGTTGGGCAAACCTTGTTTATTGCTGGTAGAGATAAGTTGGAACAAAGCCATGTTGCGGTTCGATTGCCGAAATTGGAGGTTGAATTTCCTAGATGACTTCAGTAAACAAATAACCATTTTGAGCTTTTTCTGTGAACAAATTTTTGAGATTATTTATTTTTGAAAGTGATGAAAGAGAGAATTCAACAAAATATCGTTTTTATATATTTGTTTACCTAGAGTAAAAGCTTAAATGATCCCAATCCCTCTTGTTATATATACATATTATATTTATAAAAATAATCAATGAGTTCGTTTTCCACAAGCGCCAGACTGTTCAAACCCAATTTCCGAGATTTTCATCTTTTCATCTTTTCATCTTAATTTTTAAAGCTAGTGTTTCCTTGAGGAAAAATACAAAACTTGACATTCCTCACTAAAGATGTTAAGGATTCCGTAAAACAGAATTATTGGATTTACGACGACAATGTAGATAAATATCCCTATGAAAAGGCGTGCTCATATTTTTCAAAGGACAGTTATCTTGTGTGTCCTGTACAAATTCTCTCACCCTCTCTCCCTCGTGAAAGTTTTCTCTTTTTCGACCAATCGTTAGTTTGACAGTGACTTGACAGGGACAGCGGCAATAAGATATCTTGCGCACGGACTATGTACTTATTCACTGAGTTAGGTCGGGCCGTATGGGAAAATAATTGGCTCGAGGGGCGAGGTCCGTACAAATGACCGATAGCCAAATATATTCCCGTGCGGCCCGACCTAACTCAGTCAATAAGCATTTTATCATATGACCCTCACGAAAATAAAAATAATAAAATAACTACGGGCGCAGCTTCGAGCAAGGTCGTACGGATTCGTATGGCCCTGCTCCCCATTTTCCCGAAAATGTTTTAAGAGCGCGCGCCTGGGCAGATACGGGTTATATAATAATACGATGTGTGCTTCTGCTCTCTCAATTACGGAGGATAAACACCTCCAGTTATCTACTTTTGCATGAATTGGCTATACACAATTTTTTTCATACATCAGTTCACTGGTCAAACACGAAGCATTCAGTTGAAGTTGCAAGTTAAGGTTCAAATTTGAATAATCGTTTGAAAGTACCTTGGTACCTCGCTTGAGCGCTTTGTGTTTGACCAGTGAACCAAGTATGGAAAATGACCCTTTCTCATTCCCTAAAGCATATTATTTTCTTGTTTAACGGTTGCGCATGAGAAGACACATGAATTTAGATACAACTCAAGCAAGGAATCTCATTCTTCAGAGAATGACACGTGGTGTGAAATGGGAAAACATTATGATAGACCTTTTTGACATAACCACATGTCATTCCCTAGATTATCATTTCTTTATTTAACGGTTGCGCATGAGAAGACACATGAATATAGATTCAACTCCGACAAAGAATCTCATTCTTCAGAGAATGACACGTGGTCTGAAACGGGAAAACATTATGATAGACCTTTTTGACATGACCACATGTCATTCCCTAGATTATTATTTCTTTATTTAACGGTTGTGCATGAGAAGACACTTGAATATGGATACAACTCTGACAAAGAATCTTATTCTTCAGAAAAAGGAAAAAGGAAAAAAATCAAGCCCAAAATGAAAAGGTCTATTCAAATGTTTCTAGTACTGACGAGCGTCTGTCTCGGCGGAGGTTGAAAAATCACTCTCTGCATGTTCTAACGTAATATAACATTTATAGCTCATTCACATCTAAAAATATAAACACGCCTAAAAAGKCAGAAAACTCAAACAGCGATACGCCCTATGAGATGGTTTTCTATAACTSGTGTCATCGAGCTTGTTTCTGTCAAAGGCCAACAGATTTGTAAGAAAGAAATACGACCACGACAGGAAACGTTTAGCTTGACCTGCTGC